GATGCCAGAGAGCGATAGACCTCAACACACTTGGATACCTCGAGTAATAAGTAAGAAAGTGATTTTGAACAGTTTTGCACACATCTGCAGCTGCTGTGTGTCATTTGTAACTGAAACCATGTCTGCCTTCCTTCAGGGTGTATCTCTGTGATTTTCTTCATCCTGTTTAATGTTCAAGCGATAGTTGGTAAGTGTGAGTGGCTCTTTATTCAGACTGAATTTATCTACATTCATTTATGTGTTGGAAGGAAAATTTGAAAAATCAAATAACAAGAACTATGCAACAACGACTTGACAGTTGTCTTCATTTTCATGCTTGTGCTCTGTAGGATGTGTGTACTTTAATGACTGTCCAAGGGCGCCCTCCATTCCCGTCATTCTGGTTATTTGTGGATTCATACCTGTCTTGTGGGGATTGAGCCGGTTTTTGAACAGGTGCAATATTTTCTTCGACTGTCTGTTCTTCATCCTCCATTTTGCCTTCTTCATCATCGGTAAGTATCCTGGTTCTGGATCACTTGACCCAGCATTTTGGGGAACTTTGTTTTGAGCAGCCTTGTTAAACAGCTCACTTTCTGATAAAATCAAGTTTTGTTCCACGCTTCTACTTTTGGGTCCACAAGTATAACTCCACAAAGTGTGTATCGTCAGATTGAAGTTATATTCAGCTTCTTAACAGTGAAGGTTGCTGTTGTAATACACAGCCAGGCACTGCAGTACATACCTGATGTGATTAGCAACATGGTGGTGACAAATGCTGTATTTTTCAAAGGCCAAGTGAAGCTTCTCATGACTGAAATTAGACCAAAAACCAGACTTAAAGCAAAATTATTTTTGGAAAAATGATACCATTATTGCCCCGTGCTTGCTGAAAATGTAAGCCTGTCACTTGTTGGGATTAAAGAATTTGCAGTAATGCTATGCTTTTTATTAATAAGTGTTATAAAGTCATATAGTGTAGTAATAAGTGGACACAGCCCTGAAAAATAAAGGCATTAGACTATGCAGACTCTCGCTCACGCTTGCCTGGGAAAAAGTAGATAACAGGGGACCATCTCTACTGGAAAGTTACTGAGACACTGTTGTTTAGACTAAAGTGAGAGAGCTGGTAATAAAACTGTTAGGGGCACACCACCAATTTGAGATCCGCGGCAACGTGTCATGCAGGAAGCATGTCTCTTCTAGAAGTATTGTGAAAGAGAATTAAAGTGTTAAATGGTCTGCTGAGCAGTGTTTTGTCTTCCATCGGCTGCCTCTGAGGAATCAAAAGATCTCAGAGGCATTAAAGTGTTGATATTTAACACACTTCATCCTCCAAACTGCTCTAAATGCTCACTTTATGATTTTTTCTACTGTTGGCTCTGTACAGCAAAAACACGCCACCTACAGTTCAAACTGTCAGTTTATGAGAGGCAGCCAATCAGAGGAAATTGTCT